TCGAACCGGTTCACGGGGGATGCGAGAGGACGCGGGATCCTCGGAGGAAATTGCCGATGGCGAATGAAAGAATACCGATTAACCCTAGATTTACGGATATTTATAGTCTATTCTATCTGTTTCTAATATAGAAATCTAATATAGAAATCTTCTATCTATTTCTAATGTAGAAATCTAATATAGAAATCTTCTATCTATTTCTAATATAGAAATCTAATATAGAAATCTTCTATCTATTTCTAATATAGAAATCTAATACAGAAATCTTCTATCTATTTCTATATATTCTAATATATCTATTTCTATATTTTTAATAGATAGAACCTACTAACCAGGGTGGTTTCCTGATCACAAATATATTACCATCATTTGCACCTACATTCACGAGTATTGCACAGCTACAGACAGCATTTACGTCAACGTGTCGACTTCATCCACCGAAAACTACATCGAATGAGATTTGATTTCGCCGAGAGAACAGTGAACTCGCGACGAGCACGGTCGTCGAGGCCATCGCTAACAGAAATAGATTTCCCGGCGAAGAAACCGCTAGGCTCTCGTGGAACCGGCGCGAGCGCGTTCTCGCTCCCGGTAAATTCTATCTTGATCCGTATTGTTTGCGGTGCTCCGGCCAAGAAGAGGCCAGAGGCCGCGGAGGTCCCGGTTAGACGACCCCTGCGGGGAACACAAAGGGCGCGGGCGAGTGATTACTGGCGAAAAAAGAGCGGCGGCGGCGGCGGCGGCCGCTCGGCCGCTGGGCTCTGCGGCAAAACCTTTTCATTTTCTGCTCCAGCCGAGCACTTTATTCACCGGCCGGTGGCTCCGATCCAGCGCGAGCGGCAGCGCGCGCTTTTAATTCGCGCAACGACAGCGTCGCGATGTAATGATTATTGCCCGAAAGGGCCGGCAGGTGGAATCGCCGCGGCGAACAATACTTCCGCCGGCGTAATGACGCGTTGAAGGTTCTAGACGCCGGGAAATGAACACTGAACGGTTTTCTCGCCCGTCTTCTTGTTCCCGCGTTTCCCGGTGTCCCTTCTTGTCGACGGGAAGAAACATGATCGATGTAGTCGTCGTTTCTAGCGAATGCGTCTTGTATCAAGACCGTTTAACCCTTTCGAGATGGCTTGAGAATACGTAAGAAATGTCGAAGTAGTTTCGAGGGTTAAAATCGAAGATGAAAACGCGATGACGATGCATCTGTTAGAACAGAATTTTGTTGAACAATGGATGCCTATTTTTGGAAACTGAACTGCGATGTGATTCGCGTCGTTTAGAGCTCCATTTCAAGTTTTTAACATATTTTAAAGCGTAGCGGTGCGAATGGGTCAAGGGTTTGCAGGTGGCAAGCTTTTGTTTCGTTTGTTTTCGTTCACCTCGGCCGGAGATGCAGCGTTTTATCACGGTGTTCTCGTTCGCGTTATCAGCGGTAACCGGAGACCTGATCAACGCCGGCGAGAAGACGCGAGCGATCGCTTTCTCTCCGATTGATCGGGACACCCTTATCGCGGGTGTATTTTCGGCGCAGATTAGCGAACGTTCCTCGCGGCGATAAGGCTAAACAGCTGGATAAACCTGCGCAGATATTTACCCGGACGCCGCTGTCGATCGAAGTCCGACTTTCACTCCGATGATATATGCGAAACGGAAAACCAATTGTGGTGGCAGTTAGAATGGGAGCAATTGACTCGTTGTACAGCGGTGATCGAAGTTGTACTAGTTATTCATCATCTCCTGTACTTTGACTGCTCAATTCAAACAGAAATAGAATATTATATTACTCGACTTCGTCGGTCTCCAAGAGTTTCATGCATTTTATTATTTCCTCGAGTAACGACGTATCCGTTATCAATTCGATGGACGTTGAATTCGGTTATTACTATTGGTAATATATTATCGTAATAATACTCATTACTATAATATTATCATCGTTAATTCGATGGATTCGATGATTATCTCGTATCGGCAGCGGCGAAGCAAGAAAGGAAGGGGTTGCACGCCGAGGCGTTAACGTTGTCGTTGACTCGGACCCCCCGCCCCGTAAGATCGCGTCTTCGGATTTATGGCGGGGGACGGTAGAGCGATAGGGTGGCTAAGCGATGCGGCGGTAATAGTTCCCCGGTGGCCTGGAAGGGACGATTGATTAATACGGGCTACAATAGAAATCGGAGCAGCGTTACACGTCCGCCTCGAGGCCGCCTGCCCCGTTCGCGCGGATAAATTTTTTACCACCCTTATACGTTCGAACGTCGGCGCGCCCAGTCGCGGCAGTTCCGCCGGTGAAACTTTTATATGACGAGCGGCGGAAAGTTCGCCGGGCTCCGTCCGACGAATTCCGCGGGGTTCGCGCGAAACCCTCCCCTCCGTTCGAGCGTCGCGAGCTTTTTTTCGGCTGTAACGGAAAGTCTTCTATCCGAGGCAATTGAGAGCAAAGTGGCTCGGTAGATTGGATTCGATGGAACTCGGACTGGTGACCGCTTGACCTATGATTGATTTTACAATTACGCTGGATTTCTGTAATCGTTGACGATTCGTTGGAACAATTGGAATAGTGATTAATAATTGAGTCGCGTAGAAGCTTGTGCGGTTTTTGGTATTTTCTGATTTAAATTCCAATGGCATAAATAATATTCTTTTTAGTTATTCAAGGATTTACTTCTTCCTCTCGTCTAGGTCAGAAAGTTTCTGAAATATGTATCATAATCATTTCAGAAGCCAAACATGAATTTTCTCAATGTTTGTTTATTGGACTTAACTGCATTGACTTCCGAGTGACTCAATCACTAGTCCGACGCGATCTCATAAGATAAGGGATTAACTACGAGTTTCCTCAACAGTAAGAATCTAGTGTAACATTAATTACGAAGCTCAAGAATGTCGCGATTTACTACTAATTTTCGGGAAAATGCTTCGCATTAACAATATAATTTTCAGTTAGACGTCTCAGACGTCTTGTTCCAGAGAATCGATAGGTGCTCGTGCAACGTTGCTTCGAATAATTGAGGCCCGGGTGATTGACGTTTTGCTGCATATCAAAGCGCCAATTTACTAACAGTAAAATCAGTGAACGGTAAATCGTCCTTTGGCAGTGAACCACAGTTGCAGGACGATCAGTCCCCAAGGATCGAGTCCAGCTATTTTCCCCCGCTGGGTTGGAAATCCCCGCTAAAAGTTACATTCCATAATCAGCAGCGCGCGCGCACGGGCGGCGGATCGGCGGCGCAGGGAAGCGGGAAACGCGGCGGCAGTGAAACCGCGGCGTGTGTCCGCGACGCGTATCCCGGCACCGCGACAAAATCTCCAGAAATCCCTGCTAGAGCATGGGAACCAGGACAAGATCGCTCGGAATTAATCCAGGACCGGCGTGGCACGTGGTTGCTGGGAAATAGGGGCGGTTAACCGCGCACTTCGCTGGAGTAGGTAGCTTCTGAAGTTCTTTAACATTGTGAATAGAGAAAGACTGAAGCATTCGCCTGCTGAGACTTAAAGAAAGATCATTCGAAGCATTCTGTTATCGAGTATTGAAGAAAGATTACTTGTATCTCTTTATTGAATATTGTAGAAGGAATAGAGTCAAGACGAGGCACAGTTCATAGAATCTTATTAACACTGGAACTATCAAACAGTCAAACGTTCTCTTATCGAATATTGAAGAAAGATTACTCGAAGTATCTCTTTATTGAATATTCTAGAAGGAATAGAGTCAAGACGAGGCACAGTTCATGGAATCTTATTAACACTGAAACTACCAAACAGTCAAACGTTCTCTTATCGAATATTGAAGAAAGATTACTCGAAGTATCTCTCTATTGAACTCCGTAGAGGAACAGAGTCAAGACGAGTAAAATTCATAGAAACTAGCAAATACTAAACTGAAAATACTCCGTCACAATTCTTATAGAGATCACACATAAATCGTATCAAATACTCGGTAGTTCAATCGTTAAACAAGGAAATCACAGGCGATCCGTTCCCACTCAGAACCCTCAGCTGAAAAACACAAAGCAACGAAAGCAGCAATGATAAGACCACTCTAAAACTGATAGAAGCCCATAAACCGGACAAAGAAGACCCAGCAGGACCGAACAAAGATAGACCGTTGGAGACGCCGAAGTTCAAAGAAGGGAAGGTAGACAGGCGACATACGTTTTTCAGAAAACACCA